AGAGAATGTTTTATAGTAATCACAAAATTCATATATAATTATATATGATTCATATATAATCATACATGATTTATATATAGTTATAAATGATTCATATATAATTATATATGATTTCCGTATAGTTACACTGATATTGATAGAAGGATTTGTTTATATTTATTGAGCTTTATTAACTGTTAATAAATACGATTTACTAAATGTTAATAAATATTTGTTAACAGTTAACAAATATTTTTTTAAAATCAAAAGCAAAAATAGCAATTTTTTTTTGACATTTTTTATAACCCGACAGCTGGAATACATAACTGTAACTCATGATAATAATTCAAATCTCTAAATAAATTAACGTTTTTAATATTGAAAAATTTAAAAGATAATTATGAGCTGTGATAGAATTCGGTATGTTACAATAAACGTTATTATCATGTAATATAATTAATGAAAATAATTTATAAAGATGATTTTTGTTTATAAGCAATCTTCATATCATATGACATTGCAAGTGGAACAAATTAACTTAACAAAATATTTATTAAATATAATCATTAAAAAATGCTGCATCTAATTATATATTATTATATATTAATGAATGTAAATTTATAATTTACATTTGATTAGATATAATTATGTACATAGCTTTACGTTTAATTATATACATGGTCCTATATAAATTAGATCTGATCAGATATAGATTTATATATAATCATATATAGCCCTAGATAACTAAGGTCTGATCAGATCTAATTATATATAGATTTATATATAATCATATATAGCCCTAGATAACTCAGGTCTAATCAGATCTAATTATATATAGATTTATATATAATCATATATAGCCCTAGATAACTCAGGTCTAATCAGATCTAATTATATCTAATTATTAGATCTAATTATAAGTGCGGAGCAAATTAAAGCAAAGGACTCTACAAGGCACGGGCCCGTCAACTAAACGCGGAAGTCAAATTAATTAACAAAGACCTGGTTTACACTTAAAACTAATACGTGGCCTGCCGGTTGAAACCGCGTCCAAACTTCCTTTAAGTGCAGTGCAAATTAAAGGAAAGGACTCTACAAGGCACGGGCCCGTCAGTTAAACGCGGAAGTCAAAATAACCAACTAAAACAAGGCGTTGGCAGTTGATCGCCTTTTTAAATACTCGCGGTGCTGAGCCTGCAGAAGTCCCTGCTAGTTAACCAGCAGTCGCGTAGCTTATATTTTATTGTGGCTTTCGCGCATAGAGAAGTCTTCCATCTGCGCGGCTGATTTAAATTTAAAAGAAAAAAATTGCGGGTGGACATAACACTTGTTCTGATAGAAAAAAATTTATTTTTTACGAAAGATAAAAAAATTGTTTGTCAAAAAATTTGAATCACATTGATTCAGTTCTATTGGAATGTCATGATCTTTGATATTTACCGAAGGACTTCAATGTGAGCGAAGCAGTGGGTAAATGCTAGTTAAAAATAAAATCATTGTTTATAAAAAAGTAATCTTTGTCATCACTTTTTTCAACTTTGAAGATTTAGTATGATTTTCATTTAATCATACGAAAAATATAAAAAAAATCATTATCTATAATATCATATAATTTAATATGATTCGATATATTTATACATAATTGTTTATATTTATACAAAAATTACGAAGAACATCATACATAAATTTTTGAAATTATACATAATTTTATATAATTATATATAACTCTACACAATTATAAGCAATTATACAACCATAACCAAAATACAATGTAGGATTATGTATAATTATATATAATTTTATATAAATAGTTAAACACGAGAAAAACATTGTATGAAATTATATAGAATTATACATGATTCTATATACTTTTACATAATTATATAGAATTATACAAAATGACCGAGGAAATTCCGTAGAATTATATATAATTATGTATGATTATATATACTCTTACATAATTATACAAAAATAGCTAAAACTATAGAAATATGTAGAATAATTCTACTAGAATTACACATAACTTTGCATAATTATATGAAATTTTATATTATAATATATAATTTTGCGTTGTTGTATATAATGATACAAAAATCATCTAAACTATTATATAAAACGATACATAACTATATATGATTATGCATAATTATATCTAAATATACAAAATTAAGGAAAAAATATATCCAGAATTATATACAATTATATATAACTCTGAATAATTATACATGAATCATATAGAATTATATATGAATCATATATAATTATATATGATTCATATATAATTATATATGATTCATATATAATTATATATACTTGCACATAATCGTTTTTACCCGGATATTTATAAATCTGTAACCACAGTACTGTTAGAGTAATTGTTTAATTTAATTAAGCCGGCTAAATGCCTAGCAAAATAGGTATAAATTATAAATGGTGAATAATCGCTTCGTTCCACAAAAAGGTTCCAAGGAACAAAGATAATTACCTGATACTGTTGAATTACGATGCAGCTTTGTTGGGCTCCGCCTTCACAATGTCTTCTTTCGGTGCGACAACTTCACTCTACCTTCGTGTGGAATTATCACCACCCTCGGAATGCTTACTCTCTAGGCCCCGGAACTTATGTTAATTTATTTCTAACTGCGCGAGCATCGTAGACCACAGCGCCCGTGATCTGTCGATAACTAACCGCGGCTAGGGCGAGGACCTTCAACGGGTAATGAACAAGCCCCGTGACAATGTAAACCTCTTATAACTTTTGAACGGCTCGGTCGATCGGATCAAAATAGGTGACGATTTAAAGAGTATAATTGCTATTAAATTTCGTGAAAATTCGAATCGATTCGGTTTGCTAGATTTTGAGAAATCTCAAATATTAAATTTTCAAAAAATCGTTTTTTTAGAATAACTTCAAAACGGCTCCATCGATCACTTTCAAAAACTAATCTGCTCTTAAGTTTAGAAAACTACGTCAATTGCCACCAGTCTCGTCAAAATCGCTTGATTCTTTCGAGAGTTATCGAAAACGAAAAATTAAAAAAACAGTGTTTTTTTCACGTAACTTCGACATTTCTTATTTTATTTTTTTTGATAAAATAAAATAATTATCAGAGCCTAAAAAACCACGTCGATTGCCACCAAGAACGTGAAAATCTGTTAATTGGTTCGTAAGTTATCGTTGTCGAAAAAATTCGGAAAAAGTGAATTTTTCAAATTTCTCTAAGATTTTCGGTTCGATCAGGTTGTGATCAAAAGTATATCATAGAATTTGAAAAACTGTGTGGAATACTGCTAACCGCGTGAAAATCGATTCATTCATTCAGAAATTATTGCAGTTTGAAAATTCAAAAAATACTGTTATATTAAACTCCTATCTGACTTTTGAGCTTGAAGAGCTCAAAAGCTTAGAACAGCTAACTCTATGAGCTCGAAATAGCATATAAATTATATTTTTGAGCTCGAAGAGCTCACTAACGTCATACCCTTGTAGGAAAAAAATTATATACAACGGGTCCTGTCATGGCACAATACTGGGTTGCCAAGAATCGGCCGAACAATATTGGCCCACGACTGGACCACTACTCAACTTTCAAGTCTTGGTTGATCAGTCTTGAGCCAAGATCCACCCAATATCTATCTAACAAGTCTTGGTTTGCCAGTCTTGAACCAAGACCCAGCCAATATTTAATTGACAAGTCTTGGTTTGCCAGAGTCTTGAGCCAAGATTCACCCAATATCTATCTGACAAGTCTTGGTTTGCCAGTCTTGAACCAAGACCCAGCCAATATCTATCTAACAAGTCTTGGTTTACTACTCTTGGACCAAGATATAGCCAATGTCTATGTAACAAGTCTTGGTTTGCTAGTTTTGAACCAAGACCTAGCTAATGTCTATGTAATGAGTCTGGGTTTGCCAGCCTTGGTTCAAGAGTTAACCAATATTTAATTAACAAGGCTTCACAGAAAAAAAGTTAACTTGAATCAAGTGAAAAATTCTTGAACCAAAAGAAAATAATTTTGAAAAGTTTTAATGTCTTGAATCAAGACGAAAAATTCTTAAATCAATTTGAATTTATTTAAATGAAGAAAAATTTCTTGGTTTAAGAATTTTTTTACTTAAATCAAAAAGATGAAGTTCTTCGAAATTATTTACTTGATTCACGTTAATTGTTTTTCTGTGTTGGCTTATTATCCTTGGCCAAGGCCCAGCCAATGTTCAACTGATGTCTTGGTTTGCTACTCCTAGATCAAGATCTATCCAGTGTCTACGCAAAAAGTCTTGGTTTGCCAGTGTTGAACCAAGACCTAGCCAATATCCAATTAACAAGTCTTGGTTCATCAGTCTTGGTTCAAGATCTAGTCAATATCTTTGTAACAACTCTTGCTTGCCAGACTTGGGACAAGAGCCAGCCACTATTGACATTGTTAAAACTGTAAATTTGACAGTTTTTCTGTCATTTAATTGTTGTTTTTAACTTCCCGCTAAGAAAATCGAAGATTTTCAAAAATCGGGAAGTTATTGTTTTCACCCTGTTTTATAAAAATCGAGTTTTCATCAGATCTCGACGTTTGAAGGATACAGGAAGCTTCCCTGACTATCCCCGCGAGGTTGTCACTATGTCTGTATGTGTGTGTGTGTGTGTGTGTGTTTTTTTTTTTTTTTTTAGGGGGTAGATCCTTTTTACGGATTCTAGGCGTAGCTGTTTGGCCTGGATATGTGGCGACTCGACCCAGCGTCATACTAAAACTCGACGCTGACGCCCCTACCCACTAAACCCTAAAACCCCTTTCTCTTCTATCCTCTGATCCCCCATGGTACCGCCGTAAGGCATTTCTTCGCGGGGGGAGGAATTAGCTGCCGCTCTTCCTTCTGGTGGCTAAAAATGTTATTTATTTCTTCTAGATTCTGTCTTTCGCTCTTTTCCTCTCAATGGATCGCAACTCGGTAAGCACTTTTGTAGCAAAAGTGCTTGTGGCGTACCAGGCAGCTTCTGACGACAACATTTCTTCTACTATTGACTCTGGTTGGGTTCTCTTTTTCAGAATCTTCTCTAACTCATCGCGCTGTTGGTTGAAACGTGGACACAGAAAGAAAACATGCTCCGCATCTTCATCGACCCCTGGACAGGACGGGCACTCTGGGGTATCATCGTGCTTAAAGCAGTGAAGATACTTCCGGTAACATCCGTGTCCTGATAACATCTGGGTTAAATAATAGTTGATCTCACCGTGATTCCGGTTGAGCCACACATCAATCCGAGGTATGAGACGGTACGTCCACCGACCTTTCTCTGTAGCATTCCACTCTTGTTGCCATCTCGCGATGCTGTGTTCCCGTTCTTGCTTTCTAAGTTCTTCAGGGCTCAGTGTGGTTGACCTTTTTCGTTGATTAAGTTCTGTCTTTCCTCAGCTAGGACTCTGAGAGGCAGAGTACCGGAAATAACACACACTGATTCCTCTGATATTGTGCGGAAGGCGCTAGCTACTCATAGGGCATTCAGTCGATACACTGGTCTAGCCTTTCTCCATGATTCTTGCGTCTTTAGTGCGTCGGCCCAAATGGATATTCCGTAAGTGAGCACCGATGTGACTACTGATAACAATAGTAGCCTCCTGCTCTGCTTTGGGCCTCCGACGTTCGGTATCAGTCGTGCAAGACTAGCCCTCACTACTGACGCTTTGGTACTGACATGTTCCACTTGCTGCTTGAAGTTGAGTCGGGCATCAAGCATCACTCCCAAATATCGGATATAAGGTTGTGATGTGATTTCTTGTTCGCCGACTTTCAGCTTAATAGTCCCTACCACTTTTCTGCTAGTAATAAGCACTGCCTCAGTCTTGTGTTGCGCCAGTTGCAGGTTCACTGCGTCCATCCACTGGTTAACGCGCTCGAAAGTGAGATCGAACATATAGTTTATCTCGTCAAGGTGTTTGACAACGATCACTACGGCTACGTCATCTGCATATGCTACGAGTTTGACGTTTCTTGGCAGAGTTAGTCTTAATAGACCGTGATACATAATATTCCACTGGAGTGGGCCTAGAACTGAACCTTGTGGTACATCTCCAGTAATATCATACTCCCGCGGACCGTTCTTCGTGTCATACTTCAGGACCCTGTTTTCAAAGTAGCTTGCTACGATCCTAAAAAGGTATTCAGGTACATTCTTCTCTTGGAGAGCCTGCATGATGCATTCCCAATTGGCGGAGTTGAAGGCGTTTCTGATGTCTAGAGTCGCCACCAGGCAATACTTCTTCGTTCCACCTTTCCATCTGGTTCCTGCGATTGCTTCCTTGGCCGTATCAACAACCAGTTTGATTGCGTCCAGGGTTGATCGTCCTTTCCGGAATTCATACTGATTCTCTGCCACGAGTGGGTCGACTACTGCATCTATTCGTTGATGAATTTTGCGCTCAAATATCTTACCTGCCGTATCTAGCATGCAAAGTGGTCGGTAAGATCACGGTTCTTCTGATGGTTTCTTCCCTTTAGGTAACAGTACCAATCGTTGCTGTTTCCACTTACGAGGAAAAGTCCCCTCCTTGAGGCATGCATTATAAGCGTCTAGGAATAATGTTGGAGCTGCCTTTATGATGGTTATCGAGGCTATATTAGGGATTCCGTCCAATCCCGGCGCTTTATTATTCCCTACACGGTTACAGGCCTCCAGCAGTTCTTCTTCAGTGACAGATGGAATGTCGTCCAGTTCGCCTGGCGCCAGCTGGTAATCGAAGTTGCGTTGCTGTAAGAACAGTGCAGTGACGATTTTCTGAAGAAGTTGAGGACACGTAGGTGATGGCACTTGTTGTTTTGTCAGGTGGGTTATAACCACCTTATAAGGCCTACCCCACATGTCTTTATCCACCTCGTATATAAGCTCTTTTCAACATCTTCTTTTGCTCTCTTTCATGGTTTTATTCAGTTCACGACGGGCCTTTTTGTACTCTGCGATCAGCTCCACTAAGTTCGGCCGTTGATAGCCGTGCTGAGAGATTCTTTTTTTCTCATGACACTCTTTACGGAGGACGCTGATGTGGTCGTTCTACCAATGCATCGAAGGTCTCGAATTTATGCCACGTTTACGAGGCATACTGGCATCACAAGCATGTGTTACTCTCCTCATCAGGTCCTTAGTCTGTTGTTCTGCACATCTAGTCTTGATCGGATCACGATCGAGGGCTATTAGCAATGCTTCTGGGTCAAAAGATTTCACCTTCCAACCAACGATGTTAGACTGCTTGATTGGTCTCTTGAGGTTCTGGTCGTTTGATATTTCCTAGAATATCACATGATGGTCGCTGGCAGTGTATATTTCCAACACTTTCCAGTTGTAGTCGCCTCTAGCAAGGCTATTACTGACGAAAGTGAGGTCTACATTTGAGCTTGCGTCACCTTTGGTGTAGGTCAGCGTATCACCACTGTTGAGCGAAACTACATCTAGTGTAGTAAAGGCCTCTAGTAGTGCTTTCCCTCGTGCGTTGGTATGTTTGCTAGCCCAGTCAACTGCCCAGGAGTTAAAGTCTCCGGCTATCGCTACTGGATGGTATTGCTTCGAATCTTCGGTTAGTCGATTCAGGAAATCAGTGAAATCAACAATGGAGAGGCTAGGTGGTGCGTAGCAGCTATAGAAGCGGATGACCTCTATTGATACTGCTACAAAGCCGGAATTGCTGTTGTCGACTGTATTTTGGAAAGGGGGCTTGCCACATGACCGGATGACAGCTTTGGATGTGCTGTCAGATTCCCAGGATTGGGTACTCAGGTGTTTATATGGCTCTGCTATCAGTACCAAGTCAAGCTCTAATTCTCGCACGGTGTGTATGAACAAGTCATGCGCAGCCTCACAATGATTGAGGTTGAGCTGCAGTATCTTCATGCTCGTTTATTTGTCATTTCCTCGAGCGCCTCTCTGAAAACTGGGCATCTGTATGTGCCAGCATGGTGGGCAGCGTCCTGCGCACTTTGATCGTCAGCGCATAATACACATTTGACTGGATTTTTGCACTCAGCAATCTTGTGTCCTTCTTTTCCGCACCTTATGCAGTGCTTCGATCGGTCGATTTCACTTTTGCACTGGGATCCAAAGTGCCCAAAGTGCCAGCATTTAAAGCATTGTATCGGCCTCTTTGTTGCTCTCATTCGCCAGTTGACCCAGCCAATCCTTATTTTGCCGTTTCTTTCCAGTAGCTGTTGTGCTGCAGCTGCTGGTAGTGTCACTGTAGCCGTTTGCGTACCTCTGTAGGCCTTACGGATCTTGATAGCCTCTAGTGGTATTTCGCAAGTGTCTCCGGTTTCCGTTTTCAGGGCAGTCTGAATGTGCTCCTTCGTCGTGTCATCATCAATGTCTCGGATTTCGATGGTCTCCTGCGGTCCTTTGCAGATTACTTCAGCCTCTTTTTGAAGAATATCCATGATGGTCTTTTGCAAGGCTTGGCCTTTGTCGATACTCTTCTTTGAGAGCGTAATCAGCATGTCCCTAGTTTTGGTTTTGTGGATCTTTTCCACGGTTGTGCGGACCTGTTCGTCAGGGACGGCCTGCTTTATACGACGCAATATTTCGGAATACTTCTCCTTCTCAACCAGACGGATGATCAGAGCATCAGGCCTGATCCATTTTCGTGGTTTCTTCTGCTTAGGTTCCGGCCGGGGCCCTCTCGGTGGTTGCTTTGGAAGCTGCTCTTTCCTTTGCCTTTTCAGTTCTTTTTTAGACTGAACTCGTTGCCAAGCTGACGCTTTCATCTGTTCCTCGCTTTGCAGTGCTGTTCTTTGCAGAGGGCTTTCCTTCAGGTCTTTCTTCTTTGTTGGTTGGCTGAATGTTGGGTCTAGAAAGGGTCTTTCTTTTCTCTTACCAGGCTTGCCGAAAGTTTCACGCCTGTCTTCAGCGACTGATTCACCGTCACCTTCGGCTCCGGTGTCCATTGCTTCGTCAGTCAGGACGTCAGCTT